ATCTGGTTTTCCCACCACAATCTATTGAAAATCCATACTGTCATTTAACTACTGTGTGTTCTTGGCATCTTTGTCAAAAATCAATCGATCTTAAATATGTGATTTATTTCTGGACTCTCTATTCTCTTTCCTTGATCTATTTGTCTATCTTTATGTCAGTACTGTGCCGTTTTTGTTTTGCAGTATTGTAGTTGGTTTTAAAATCGAGTAGTGTGGGCGGCGCCTGTGGCTCAAAGGCATAGGGTGCCAGCCCCATACGCTGGAAGTGGCGAGTTCAAACCCAGCCCAGACAAAAACTCCAAAAAAAAAAAAAAAAAAAAGGAATTTAAAATTAAGTAGTGTGATGTCTCCAGCTTTCTTCTCTTTGCTCAACATAGCTTCAGGATTTGGGGCTATTTTGTTGTTCCATGTGAATTTTAGGATTATTTCATCTATTTCTGGGAAAATATCATTGAAATTTTAATAATGGTTGCATTGAATCTGTAGGTTACCATGGTAAGTATGGCAATTTTAATAATATCTATTCTTCCAACTTATTGTTTACTCTTTATATGTATTTACTAATGTTTTCAGAGGAGGAATCTATTCTCAGATTTTCTATTACTACTTGGAAAACAATTTTATATCTTCATCATCAAACCCATACTAATGAACCAATGGTATTAAATGTGACATACTTAGTTTCTTCTCACCATTTGCCAGCATCCTAGTCACCTGTAATTATGGTGCATCACAACTCCATCCAGACACTACTTACCATCTTGGGAAATAAAAACATTCAAAAATAGTCAAGACGTTATCATCTCAGTTTTGCTATTTCCTCACGTTTCGTCAGAAACTGCTCAACAACCTGATGCTCAGTTTCAACACTTCCCAGTCTCTGACGACCATCTTCAATTTCCCATCCTATATATTGTAGTACTTCAAAAGAATCAGTGGTTTTTATCTTCACTGAGATTCCCAAATCCAGTATCTCCATCAATTCTTCCTTGTTTGGCAACACCCTAATGACCTCACTTCCTTCCTTAATACGTACCTTTTCATTGGAATGTATTTATAGTCTCATGAGTATTGACTCATTTCACTTTAAATGAATGGGCTGTCAACATCTCAACCCAAATGTTCTTTCATTTTAGTATTTCTTTCTCGAGAAAATGATTTACAATTATGTCTTATCAAATTGCTAATGTAGCTACCCAATCCTACTTCTTATGTTTAGCTTCACTTTATGTTTTCTTGCATAAAAATCTATACAACTCTATCCAATGCCTTTGTCTTTATCTTTGCTGCAGTATAAAAAAAGACCTCATTCTAACCCCGCCACTTAATGCTCTTGATCACAGTATCTATTATTGTCCCCAACTATTTGCCTTTGCATATAGCTTCTTATCATATTAAAAATCATTTTCCCTTTCTTATTAAATTGTTCTCATCAGCATAAAAACGTAGTCTAATGCCTGAAGTTATTAACCTTTTGAACTATGGTGTTTTTTTGATAGTCTACAATTGCCCGTGGGTCTCTTCTGGAAAAAAAAAAAATATTGCATTAAATGAAAAGATGGCATTACAGGGAAAACCAATCATACAGAAATAAAAGTACTGAATTAGCAAGTGGAGAAGGTAAAGATGAAACCTGCTTAACTACCATACATTTACAGATGGAAAGATGCAGAAATGATGTTTTCCCCATCCCTATCCACTGAGACAATCGGGAAACAGTGATTTCCTAATACCTATTAACACAGCCCAAACCCATATTTTGGTTTCTAAACAACATCCACCAATAAAAGGAATCAGGGCTTCTTATGGAAATAGTTTATTTTAGGCTGCAGCAGAAAAATATGAGTGTGAAGCACAGTGTAATGCCAGAAAAACATTTGACAAACCCGAATTGAGAAACAATATGCAAAGTATCTAATCATTAGTATTACACTAAACTTCAATAATAAAAATCTCTGAAAGACTGAAAAACTGTTACAGCACAGAGGATGCTGAGGAACATGACGACTGATGTTGCCTCTAGTTGGATCATAGAATGGAAAAAGAACATCACTGTAAAACCTTGAAACCAGTATTCGTGTTAAGACTTTAATCAATAGTAATGTACTAATGTTTTGTCATTGTTTTTGTGGTTTGGTTTGATTTTTTAAAAAATATATAGTGGCAATATAAAATGATTATATTAAGGGGAACTGGTTGAGAGAATCATTTTCACAAATTTCTCTAAATACAAAATTTCAGTTGAGCCTTGAACAACACAGGTTTGAACCATGTAGGTCCCTTTATACACAATTTTTTTCAATAAACTTATTGGAAAATCTTATAGCAGTTTGCAACAATTTGAAAAATTTGCAGATGAACTGCATAGCCTTGAAATATTAATTAAGAAAAAATTAGGGATGTCAGAAATGAATACAGTATATGTAGCTTCTAGTCCATTTTATCATTCACTACCATTAACATACAAAAATCTGTCATTAGAAGTTAAACTTTATCAAAATATACAAACATGAACACTTCCATGCCATGTGGTGCTGATGTAGGTGAGGGAAATATAAAAATTCAGTATGAAATTGTTAATGTGTAAAATTAACTGTGGGATGTAAGTACTATAGTAATAATTTAGTAGTACAGTAGTTTCAGCTACCCCGTTTTGCTATTGCAGTGAGCTAAAGGTTGGCAGTAGCCACTTAAAATTCTGTGTGATGCAAATCTTCTCCCTGTGAGCAGTTCGTCTCTGCAGTAAACTGGATATCACAGTAATAAGTGATCTCTCCTGAGTCTTGTGTATTTTTCATTGTGTTTAGGGCAGTAACACCATGGGGTCCATACTAAGTGCCTCTAGAGATATTGAATGTGCTGCTCCCAGGAACCAGAAGAAAAATGGTGAATTGCTCGATGTGGGCTATAGATCGAGGTCTGTGGCTGCTGTTGCCCACTATTTCAGACACACAATTCATCTTGTAAACACATGAGGCAAACTTACAGTATTGATCTATACAATACAGTTCTATAAATATATTTTCCCTACCTTATGACTCTTTTAATAACATTTTTTTTTCCCTAGCTTACTTTGTTGTAAGAATACGGCATGAAATACACATAAATACAAAAATACTTGTTAATTACCTGTTTTGTTATCTGCAAGATTTTTGGTCAGCAGTAGATTATTATAAGTTAAGTTTGAGGGAGTCAAAAATTGTAAGTGGGTTTTTGATCATAGGAGGAGTTACTTTCCCTAACCCCCTGCATTGTGCAAGGGTTAACTGCGTTCAAAACAAAAATATTATTAAAAATTATTTTTAAAAGGAACAAAGTTTTGATAAAGTAATATATTCACATCTCTATTAAACAACAAAAATTAGCAGTATTAATCATAAACAATGATTTGTAATGAGTAAAAATATCTAATAATATCCAGAATGACTATGACATTTGAAAATGTGATTTTTGTAGCTGGTAAAATAATAGATATGCCTTAATTGATTTTCTTCTCTATTTTAATACCATATACCATATTTTGTCATGTATATTGCATAATTTTTGCCCAAATTATTGAGGCAAAAATATGGATGCACATTTTGCATCCTTATGGGATCACTATAGCCCCCTGCTTGGGTATACTGGGAACATGGGGTCACAGTCTGGGAGCATTTGGATGTAGTGGGAGGGGGGCAGAGCTCCCTCTGCCAAGAATAGTGATCAAGGGAAGGAATTGTGATGGCACTGGCAGGGCAGGTCATGTCCATGTGGAGCAAGGGCAGAGGGCCAAGGCCTACCTACGCAGAGGTGACAGGACCCCTGAAAAGGCCCCAGGGATCCACTTAGCTGCCTTACAGGTCAAGCGGCCTCAGAAGTTCCCTCTCCACCAGCCAAGCTTCCCAATATGGCAGGAGAGAAGGGCTCCCAGGATTAAAAAAAAAAAAAAGGCAGCTTTCACAGAGCAGGTGGCTGTGGGAGGGCAGTGCAATCTACTCATTTACCAGAGGAGTTTTAGCCTCCCCCCACACACACATATATACCTTCTGGCCTAGAGCCAGCCACTTTCTCAAGAGGGATTGATTTTCCTGAAAGTTTGGGCTAAAAATGTGAGTGTGCATTATACACAGGAGTACATTTTACTGGGCAAAATATGGTGATTGACAAAAAGGTTAATTCAAAGTTAGTGAAAATAAGCACACACATTTTTCTTCATTCAATTACATAAACCTTGTGAATTGCGTTCATAGACCTTATGTTAACAATTCCACATAAATATTTTCCGATCTTAAAAATAAAGCACAATCTCTATTTCCAGGTATACGTTATTTTTCACTTCCTTATTTCATCAAAACTTCATAAAAGAAATATTTACTTATCTCAACTACTACTGGAAATTCCAATTCTGACTATTC